TATGTGTGTGTGTGTATGTGTGTGTGTGTGTGTGTGTGTGTGTGTGTGTGTGTGTGTGTGTGTGTGTGTGTGTGTGTGTGTGTGTGTGTGAGTGTGTGTGTGTGTGTGTGTGTGACTTGTATCTTTTTCTTGTATTAGCGAAAAATTATAACAAGTGCCTTTTAGTTGTTGAGATGAGCGCAGCTTGTTATTATTATCGATAACTGGGAAAATAAATTGAGGGTTATGAGTTGTAAATATAGTTCTCCCCTGTAATTATAATAATAATCTTTCTATGTGGATTCAAGAAGATGGGGTATGGAGAGGAATTTATTAGAATTTTAGTGAAACTAATTGGGATTTTACTGAAAATAAAGGTATTGTGTGAATATTATAAAAGAAATATAGAAGTGAAAAAATTATGAATGAAAAAATTGTGTCTTGTTGATGGAGGATATGAGTGAAAAAAAAAATGAAATGTTGTGAACATTATGAGTAAAAATCTTTATTACTGAAATCGAGAAAAAATTGCAACTTGTATCTTTTTGATAAACTGGAAAAGATTGGAGGGTGAACCAGCAATACCTGGGACCTGGAGGTTGTACAAAACATGGCGTAATACTTAGGGTAGTGATATATATGAGGTCGCCTGTGACGTCACACCCACCTGTGTTTGCTTGTTCAGACCTGATGATGCCAGTGACGTCACACGACTTGCCCCATAGGAGGGATCTTTAATAATCTTTTCAATTAATTATTGAAAAGGGAGAAATATTGTTTCGAATGAAAAATCTTTTTGATTAATTATTGAGACGAGAAAATATTGCTTCTACCATTTTTGAATGCTTACCATTGATTGAAAAGTGTTTACCACAATGTTTGAGATGTTGCAATTAATTCATTTGGTAGATGATACCACTTTGTACTACCTCCTCTAAAAAAGTTATCCTAGGTTATTGAGTGTCTATGCTTACCACTGAATGAAATGTTGCACTATTTGTATGCTTACCATTTGCAACGAGTAGGTATTTACCACAGTGTTTGAGATACTGCAATTAATTCAAGAGGTTTATTTAGAATGTTCACCATTTGTATTACTCTTTCTCTAAAAAAGATGTTATCCTAGATATTATATTACTATTGGAGAAAGTGTGTACATATGTATGCTTTCCACTTGTCCTGTAGGGGAAAGTGAAGGTGTTTACTTTCGAGTGAGAAATTTTAAGGGGTAACTCAAAAAAAATTGGAAAAAAATCGAGGAAAATCTTGATCCAAGGAGATGGAGGGTGATGCAAAAAAAATCTTTCAAAAATTCAAAAAATTTTGGGTAACTCCAAAAATCATTTTTGGTTTGTGAACTTTTCATCAAAGGGATTTGGGGGGGAAGGGGGGGGAAATTTTTTTTTTGGGGAGGAAAAGGGGTTGGAAAATAAAAGAAAAAAAAAATTCGAAAAACCCTGTTCAAAAAATTTGGTTAGCTTTAAAAAAATTGTAAGGCAACCCAGGGAAGGGGGTTGAGCAGGGGAAAGGAGAAAAAAAAAACGGGAAGTTGGTTTTGGGCCGCTTTGTCAAAAAGTGGGTTTTTGGAACCCCTGGAGGCTTTTTTTGAAAAACACCCCCAAAATCTGGAATTTTTAAAAAAGTGGGGTTTTTTGCCCCCTTTTGGTTTTGTTTTTGGGTTTTAAATTTTGTTTTTTTTTTTAAAAAAGTCAATCGGGCCCCTGTAAAATTTTGGGGGTTTTGGGGGGGAGAAAAAAGGGTTTGGGGGGGAGGGGGGTTTTCGGGGGGTTTGGGGGTGTGGGGAAAAAAAGGGGGGGGGGTGGGACTGGGTTTAAAGAGCCTGGGGGGGGGGGTTGGCGGGCGGGAGGGGGGGGCGGGCCGGGAGGGTTTTGGGGCGGGTTTGGAAAGTATCATTAGACCTAGGTGTAAAATTTTCACATAGGTGTGAAGGGGGGTTGGGACCCCCCTTTTATTTTGCACGCTCTGGGATTTTCCCAATATAAATTAAAAAAAATTTTCAAAAATGGATTAATGAAAATATTATATTAAATGTTTTTATACGACATCTAAAAGCCCCCGAACGATTATTATTATTATTTTTATTGCTTTTTCAACATGATGGGGGACATTTTAGGTTTTAATGTACCTACACGCCAGACGAAGTTTTTTTAGGTGAGGTTTTCCAGTGAGTTGTCACAGTATCAAAAAATAAGAAATAACTTTAAAACACTTTAAACACATAATCGAGGACACGGGCTCACAGAGAATGAAAAAGAAACAAGGTGGGCACGGGTGCTGAAATTTTGAATAGGACCCCTTTTTAATAAATTTTTTAATTTAAAAATTTTGAATGGCATGTTGGTTTAAAAAAACGCTGAAAAGGGAAAGAAACATAAAGCGGGGCCCTCCTATAAAAAGAACCTTATCCATGGGGGAAAAAGGGGGGGATCCCCAGGTAAAATTGTGCAAACCCTTTTTTGGGGGTATGGTGGGTTTTAAAACGTTTGCAGTGAGGAAAGGGGCCCCCAAAAAGGCAGTGGAAGTTATGCGGGAATATGTTATCCGAATTTATCAGGAATTGTAGTTTTGGAAATAAAAAGAGATGACTAAAAATTTTTCCTGAAGAGGGTTTTTTTTTTTGTGTGGTATGGATGTTTAGAGGGATGGAGCCAAATGGGAAAAGGACTTCAAGGGTGTAATAAAAAAAAAGGGGTTTTTAAATCTGTAAGAAAGAGAAAGTTAGAGGGGGGGAGGGTTAAAAAGTTTTTGTATGCGAGAGACTGGCATCCAACAGACATGTACTAGCATAAAGATAGGAGTGGAGGGGGGAGAGTTAAACGATTTTTGATTATGAAATAGGTTTTCAGGGAAATCCTTTGCCGGACATGGTCTTGGGAGGGGAAAAGTATAACAGCTCCACTTGTTAAAGGCCAAACAACCCTTGTTTTTCCAGATTGTAAAAAATTCGAAGTTCAACTTAATTTTTTCAAAGGGGATGACATTTTTTGTTTTGGCCCCGAGACATACGTCGTCCCCCGAATAGGTAAAAACATGCGATTTTGGTTTTAATAGAAATGCTCTTCTTGCCGATAAGGTAATGAAAAATTTTGTATGCAATAATTTCGAAAAAATCATCTGTGTCTTTTATTAAAACTTCCCAAAAAAATGTATATAGTTGGATTGGTAAAAAAAAAAATTTCGCTTGTTTATACGGTTAGGTAATTTTTCCCAAGGTTCTTTGGTGAAAAATTTTTAAATTTTTTTTATTACTTAATGAAAAAATATAAGTATCTTTAACGTATTGAGAAATTTTTTTGAAAGGAAAATTTTTAAAATGAGTTTTCTATTTGACAAATTTTATTATTGGGGAAAATATTTTATATTTATTTATAAAATTTATAATTTTTTATATATATTTTTTTATATTTATATATATATATTTTTTTTATATATTTTTATATATTTTTTTATTTTTTTTTTATATATATATATTTTTATATATTATGTATATTTATTTATATATTTTATATTTAATAAAAATTTTAAATTTTAAAAATTTTTTAATATAATTTAAAATTTTCTAATAAAAAAATTCTTTCCCCCTTTGCCATGCTGGGGGAAGGGGGGATTAAAATGGGGAAAAAGGGGGGCAAAAACCATCTTTTTAAAAAATTTCTAAATTTTTAAGGAAAAAATTTGTTTTTCTTTTTCCCACCTGCCTTTGGTATACACCGGTTTTGTTTAAAAGAAAATTATTGTTCCAAAAAAGGGGGATGGTTGGTTAAAATAAAGTTTCTTGATATGGAAATTTTAAATTTTTTTGCAAAATTTTAAAAATTTTCTAAAAAGAAAAAAAATTTTTCATGGTTTGTTTAAAAATTAATTTTAAAAAATTTTTAAAATTTTTATTGGGTTACTTAAAAATAAATTTTTCTTTTATAATAAATATAATTTTTAAAATTTTTTTTTTTAAAATTTAAAAAATTTTTTAATTTAAAATTAATAAAAAAAAAAAATTTTTAAACTATAGGGGAAATTTTAGAAAGGTTATTTTTTAAAAGTTCTTCTAATTTTCCAAAGTTTTATTTTATTCCCGGGCAGACTACAACCCAAACAAACCACACACAATTTATAAATTTTTTAATTAATTTATTTTTTTTAAAATATAAAATTTTTTTATTAATTTAATAACCAAAACCCCGGGGGGAGTTGAAGTAACTTGGCCCCCACCGGTTTTTGGGATTATTTGTGACCTCTCAATCCGTGTTGGGTCATTTTATTACGGGTTTGGTGGTTTGTTCAAAAATCTTCTCTAATTTAACTGGCACATTTTTGAATTTAAAAATTGTTTTTACCTGGTGGTTTGGGTTGTTGACAAACTTTTGAACCCCTTATTTTTTTAATTTATTAATAACCCTAAACCCGGGAGATTATTCGAGGCTGTGGAGAGGATAAGATTTTTTAGGCTAATTCAGGGAACCAGGAAAATTTTAATTTATAGATCCCAAAAGCAAAAAGGAACCCCCTTGATATAGCATAACCGTTCAAATTTTTTGAGTGTTGGGGGGGTTTAATAAAAAATTTTAGGGCTCTTTCCAATTTTTTTTCTTAAAAAAATTTTGGTTACGGGCCTTTTTCCAGAAAATAGGGGTTTTTTTTATTTTGGGTGGGTTTGGATGCTGAAAAAAAGCGGGGGGGTAGTTGATATTATATTTTTTATAATAATTAGTTTACAGGGAGAGATGTGTGGGCCCATTTTTGAAGGAACTTTGGGTAGAGAGGTATAGAGTTAGATTTTAGGGGAATAAAAAAATTTTTAGGGATTTTATTTTGTGAATTTTTGGGTTTTTTAGAAGTTACATTAGAAAAATGGTTAGGAAAGAATTAAAAAAATTATTTGGGTTAGAAAAAACGGGTTATTTTTTTTTTAAAAAGTTTTTGGGATATTTTTTTGATATATTTTTTTATTTTTTTTAAAAAGATTTAGTTTTATAAGTAAATTTAGTTTTTGATTTTTTTGGTTAAAATAAAAGGGAATGAAGTTCCAAATTGTGAAGAGGGGGAGAAGAGTTGGAGTCTGGATAATATTCGTCACCATTTTTCGTTACCTTCGCCAAGCACTGGCGTATCCCCAGGGCTTCGTCAAGGCCCCCGGGATATGGTATGTAACACTAGTTAAAATTCAAAATACATACAGTCCACCAGTTTCTTAAACATTCACACACATAAATATTTTAAAAATTTCCCTTTTTGTTTTCAATGAAAATTTAATTTTTGTTAAAAACCAAGTAAAAAAAAAAGATCGACTTAAAAATTTCCAAATGCTTCTTCTTTTTTCAAAACTTTTTTTCAAAACCTGTTATGTTTTATATTCATGCAAGAACAAATCCATTATTTCCCGTAAAACGATTTGCAATGGGGGAAAGTAAATTAAGTTTGATCATTGAAAAAAAAATGGGGGTTTAACTCACTTTCTTAGATCAAAAACTTTCACGAAATCACGAATTTCCCTTTGATGGGTAAAAAACTTTATAATTTTTTGTAACCAAGGTTGGATTTTCAATGAACATTTATAACACAAAATTTAAGTGTAAAATCCATAGGATTTATAGTTAAAAGTCTAAATCTTCTTATTTGATTGATGCCTGTTTTTCCCTTTAAGAGACACCCACACACAGACTGGAAAAAAGGTCGTGAAAATTATTGACTCGACTCGAAAAAAATTGAATGTAACAAAAAGTTGCAAACAACTAGGAAACAAATGGGATTCAAAAAATGGCAAACCCCGTCCTAAAATTAAAAGCCCGTGCTCTTTCCACTCGAAAAAAAATATATCTTTGGTATTGAAATAAAAACTATACTGTATTCCATTTATGTAAACCCCGTATCACTGAAAAAAAATCATGGAATCTTCCACTACTAAAAGTCCTCGGGATGACCTACTTCCTCGGGAAATCCCCCCCTACCGTGACAAGCCCCCATCTGCATCCGTCCCTTTCACCTGACGCCAGTAGGTGGGAAAGGGGGGCTGTTACCTCTTTTTTTTTATATGTTCTTCTGTCTTCAATTTATCCTTGAAAATTTTTATTGATAAAGCCCCTGGGTGGCGCAAAGTCTACATTAAAAATACCCAGATGTTAGCATGTGTTAATTTTCATCATACTACTTTAATTATTTTTTTCTTTTATATATATTTCAGCTTATTTTTTCCTTTTTTTGGGTATTTTTGGGGATTGTTGTCTGGTCGTGGAAAGGTTACATGCGCCTTAAAACTTTAGTACAGAAAAAGAGCTTTTTAAACTTTTTTTTTTTAAAAACCATCCCCAAAATAAATGTGTTAGCTAATTCAGCTTGGAGTAATTGTAAACCCAAAAATAAAGTAGTTACTTTACATTTTTTGCAATTTTAAACGTCTGAACTCCGAAATTAAAATGAAACTGGCAGTTTTAGCAAATTACTTGGTAAGTCCATTTAATTCAACCTCTGTCCTTCATAAAAGTGGTCAGGCAAAAATTTAAATTGTCGGGTGTTCTAAATACCAAGATCCCTTAAGTTGCAGCGTTGACAGTGTGAATATGATAATGGATACATACTGTCAAGTTGTTTGGTAAGACGAAAGTGCAATGGAGGTATCTTTATTCCCAAAAAATACGCCTCACAGAAAGATTCTCACTCGACAACATAAACAGCAGAAGCAGCAGAATAAAAAAATAAAAAAGGGCCCTTACAGTGACTTGAAAATACAGAAAAAAACCCCCAAAAAAGAGAAAGAACCTTATGAAATATTTCGGTCCGACGTGGACCATTATTAGGACAAGCAGAAGCACGAAGTTGGGAGCCCGTATTATGGAGAGGGGCGGGGATGAGAAAAAAAAAGAAATAATAAAATGAAAGGGTAGTGATATTGTGGTAAAGGAAAAGTAGAATAGTAGTAATTTAGTTTTTTAGCAGGAGGGGTATGCAGAAGAGTTAGAGAAATTGAAGTTAGAGGGAAAAAAGTGTGTCTATCATTAGTAGTAGAAGGGAGTAAAAAAGAAATATAGTAGTGTAGTTTAGTATTAGTAGTGTAGTATAGTAGTAGTAGTAGTAGTGTATGTGAGTAGTAGTATTTGTGGTAGTTGTAGTAGTAAAAATAGTAGAAGAGTCTTGTGTAGTAGGGAAAACTAAGGACAGGAAAATAATGACCCACGAGGGGGGACAAAAGACACAGGAGGTAAAAACTATTTGGGCAAAAAAATAAAAAAAGGAGTTAAAAAATAAGATTTTAAAAAAAAAGTCGGTTAAGTGTTCTGAAGCTTGGGGCATTTGACAAAGTAATAGGAAAAGAGAGCTTTACAGAGACAAAACCCCCGGATTAATATTTATTTTAGGAAAACTGTATATAAGGGTGCCCAAAAAAGGCAGGCAGAAGGCAGAGGGCCCCGGAATAGGTTGAAAGTGATCTTAACATGACGAAAAGAGCATATTGGGTCGGACGGTCAACTTTTGTGTTCTTGAAATCTGTCAGAAAGGAGTGTCAGTTCTGAAAAATTTTGGGAGGACAAAAGGCGGAAATGGAGTAGATCCATAAGCATCTTTTGGGAGGATGTGAGGGGAAACAACATTCTCAAATTTTTGTCTTGCGAAAAATAGTTTTTATGCCCAAATAACGGAAAGAGTTGAGATTTGAGAGTGGAAGTTTGGGAAAGGGAGAGAATAGGATATTTTTCAGGAGTAGAGAGTTTGTGAGAGAAGAAAATCCCTTTTTGAAAAGTGAGAAGGCAGGTTTTTGAAATCTGAAGAGTAGCGAAGGTAGAAACGATATGCGAAGATTGGAAATTTTCCGAGTCAAGGAAAAAGAGTTCCTTACTCTCTTGCTGGGAGAAGTGACATCTGGGAATGGAGGAAAAAGAGGAGTAAAGACTATTTTCATGAAAGAATTAACCCGTTTTCAACGCGATGGTGATGGTGATGAAATTAATGCCGGCCCTTTTTTCTATGTATTATATAAAGGAAGATTTTTGAAACAGAATGAATTAATTATCTTTCAGTTAATACCCAAAAATTATATAAAAAAAAAATTATTTCAATAGGTGACCCAATATATTGAAAAGGAAGTGTTATGATGGGGATCCATAATCTTATACATCAGTCACATCTATAGGGGAAGCAAAATTTTGATGGCGAGTTATTGACTGGTTTTCAGAGTTTTACTTTAAAATTGGTAATTTGTATAAAATATAAATTAAAAAAAATATTTTTAATCAAAAGTGTGTGTTTTTTTTACTATTATTTAACAAAAAATAAAGATTTCGCCCCTTGTGAAAACCTTTCACAGAAAAGAAATAATTTAGTCGCTTGACCTTAATTTTAAGAAAAAGTCGACTTTTAGCATTAATGGCAGTGTTGTTGGTCGCAAAAAAAAAAATTTCGATTTGAAAAGTAAAAGTAATAAATAAGCCAAAATCAATGGTAACCCGGAGAGGGTCGTGAATATTATAATTTTCTATAAGCAAATGCAAAGTATATTAGTGCCCGTTTAAGTTTCTTTCTGCAAAGTATTTTACTTGAAATTATGAACTGCCCAACTGCCCATCTGAGCAGTGACCCCTTTTGGCGCTTTTCCCCAAACGTTGTGTGTGTGTGTGTGTGTGTCGTTCTTCCCCCCCTTGTGGCGCTTACACGCGTCTGTGTGGTGTGTCGTTCTCTCTCTCCCTTGTGGCGTTACCCCAGCTCGTGTGTGTGTGTCGTTTTCTTCTCCCCTTTTGGCGCTTACCACAGCGCGTGTGTGTGTGTCGTTCTCTCTCTCCCCTTTTGGCGCTTACCAAGCGTCTGGTGGTGTGTCGTTCTTCTCTCCCTTGTGGCGCTTACCCCAGCGTCTGTGTGTGTGTGTCGTTCTCTCTCTCCCTTGTGGCGCTTACCACAGCGTCTGTGTGTGTGTGTCGTTCTCTCTCTCCCTTGTGGCGCTTACCACAGCGTCTGTGTGTGGTGTGTCATTCTCTCTCTCCCTTGTGGTGCTTGCCACAGCGTCTGTGTGTGTGTGTTTTCTCTCTCTTTCTCTGTCTGTGTGCCTTTAAGGGAGGTTCCTCGAGTAGTGAGGAGCTCTTGATTTAGGAATTTGGGTCTGTGATTTTAGTTCCGTGAATTGGAGCAAAATTTTTTCCATCCCTCCCCCCCCCCCAAAAGGCTATCTAATCCTTACGGGTTTAGGCTCCACCATAATAATAATAATAATAATAATAATAAAATAATATAATGTGTAATGTGTCGTGGGTTTCATTTAAGTGACGAACGGATGAATGTTATATTTTATTAAAAAAAAAAAATAAAAAGTGTACACCTTTATAAGTGGAAAATTATTTTTTAAATTTATTTTTGTCAAATTACCAAAATTTTTGTAAAAATTTTTTAAAACATCACCCAACTGCCAGTAAAATTAATCTTGCCCGGGTAGTTTTTGGTGATATGTAAAGATTACGGATCTTCCTTTTGGTCACCTTTTAAAATAAATTTTGTTTTTAAGTATTTGGGTATGTCTGAAAAATTTAAACCCTGTATTTATAAATCTTCTTTTTAATAGATACACTGGCATTATTTTTGTCAACCAGTCACCATGTCGTCACTGCTGGGTTAATTTACTTGAAAAAAAAGTCTTTCTCCCCTGTTTACTACGTCAGGTTGCCCGCTTCTCTTCTGCCAGAAAAAGGGGAGAGAGAGGAGGAGAGGAGAGAGAGAAGACTGGGGGAGGAGAAAAAAAGAGAGAGAGAGTTAGGAATTTTTTCCCAAATTTTCATGTTTTTAAAAAAAAAAAAAAATTTTAAATTTTTAAAATTTATATAAAATTTATAGATCCCAATATCCAATATATTTAAATTTAGCCTGATTATTCGAGTTTTTTTTTACGTGACTGTTCCGCTATATTTCTCCCTCAACAAATTTTTTTACTCTAAAAGTAAATAAATTTTAGTTTCTGTCCACATTAAAACTTATATTTTTAAAATAAATAGTTATTTACTTTAAAAAAAAAAATTTATTTCTTTTTATAATTTTATCTTCAAAAAATCATTCATTTTTCCTTCAACTGTTTTAAAAAATGTTAAGTTTATTTAAAAAAAAAAATTAGGCTTTGGTTTTGTTTACTAAACATGAGACTTTTTGCACCTGAAAAACCCTTTTGGGAAACTTGGGAATGTCGGATGATCTTAGTAATTTATCATCGTTACGAAAATTTAAATAAAAATCTTATTTTTGGGGGATATAGCAAAACCCTGGTTTATTTTTAAAATGGGGAAGCGCTAAACCCCCAGGTTTACACAGCGCATTGGGGGGGGTTGGAAAGGGATTTAGGTAATTAGGGAAAAATGGAGCAAGATCCAATTCCCTAGTCAAGGCCCCTTACCAGCATCAAAGGAACTCCTTGAGGGGAAACCCCCCCCTAGAGGTTTTATTATTAAAAATTAGCCCGGGATTCTCCGGCCCCCGGGGCCTTTTCCCCAATGGTGGCCGGCCTTGGCTCCCTCTTTAGGGAGTGTTAAACCTAAATCTCCCCTGGGAGGGGCACAGTCCCCCTCATCTTTGGACCCCTGTCCCAGGCCTTGCCACAAGCTGGCCCTTGGTCTGCCTCCCCGCCCCGGGGCAAATGGGAATGACAGTTTTGAGCTAAGGTCGGGCTCAGGACCCACCCTCCCCGAAGGGTTGGCATGGTGTCGAGCCCCGGTAGGGGTCATCACACGGATCATCATATTTGAGAAGAACCCCCAAAAAAAAAATTCCCCCCCATTACAATTACTTTCAAGGGAAATAACCCTCGTTAGATTCCCTCCAGAGCCAAATAAATAATTAAAATATCACTTTTCTTTTTTTCCATGAAAAATTTAATGCATTTAGATAATTTTTTCCCTTTAAAATTTTATTTTAGGAAGCAGCCCTTTCCCGTTGGGTCAACTTTCCCGTGGTGGATGTACTGGGAAAAAAACAGAGAAGGAGAAAAAGGTTTTCCAGTGTTGTGCGCCTTGTTTTTGGGCCAGGCAGGCCCCTAACACCCCCCGTGGTCCTGGGGTTTGCCAACACCTGGTACCTCGGCAACCCCTTTATCTAAAAAAATATCATTTAATTTTCAAAATGATTCATACGTTTGGACTGTGTCAAATTATAGGATTTATTTAAGTAGGTGGTTGAAATTATGAAAGTATTTGAACAAAAAATTCAATATTAGTAATTGGACACTGTGTAAACTACTAAGATATTTTCTGCAGCAAAATTTTCACTCAATGTATGGACACAGAAGGTAAATGAAAGATGAGGTGGTATCTGGAAGGCTAGGCATTCTAGTAGTTCTGCTATTAGTAGTTGTAATAGTAGTAGTAGTAATAGTAGTGGTAGTTGTAGTAGTAGTAGTAGTAGTAGTAGTAGTAATAGTAGTAACAGTGGTAGTTGTAGTAGTTGTATATGTAGCAATACTAGAAGTACTACTTGCAGTAGTAGCAATAATCTCGGTGTATGATGGTTTCAAGTGAGGGAGGAGCTAGAGAACTGTATTTGAGAAGTTTTAGGGTCACCTTTTCTGCTACTTATCTGTGTGCTGTGTTAGTGAAGACAATGTGAACTACTGTTCGCTTAAATCATACCTGCATATGTTGACATGTATGGTCTGGATATGTCTCTTATTCATGCGTAAGCTTTCACAAGGTCACTAATGCTCAAGAGCTAAGGGTTACACTGGTTCATGTCTTATTCACGTTTACTTCAACAATCACAAACAACTTTAATTCATATTTTCCTTTGTGGAGATTTAAAGGGGTTAGATCTTCGGTTCTTAAGTATAAATTTTGTAACTAGTAACTGATGTATTTTTAGATTATTTATTCTAATATTACTGAAACCATAATATCATTTTTATTCTATTTTTTTTCTTTTTGTATTTTCCTAAATACTGCGCTATTTTCTAATATAACAGTTGAAGGTAATATTTTCTATTACATCACTTGAAGGTAATGTGTTAATTTACTGCTGTTGTAGCCACACGTTAATATTTGTTTAACCTTCTAGTAAAATATATTTCTAATTCTAATGTATATCTAATTCAATGCACGCGAAAGGAATAGGACAGGATGATACTAAAACTCTAAGGCTGTGACCTGAAAGCGCTTCAAACACAATCGTAATAGTTTGTCAGTGTAATAAAACTACTGCTTTTAAGACTTACATTATGGTCACTAAGATGAGTGCTCGCTCCGATGCCCGACAACATAAGCAGCTTCGGCGAGGCCAGCGAGCCAGCTGAAACAATTACTTCCCGTTCCGCACGAGCTACCAGTACCTGTAACAAATACAACTTTAAAAGTATTCTATATAGTCTATAAAATCCCATTATTACGAACACAAGTTTAATCTAGTGGCCTACACACCTGGTTACAACAGGATAATCAAGGTAGAAATGAGGAATGTGAAAAATAAAACGGAGAGAGTAAATACTTATATTTACAACACCAAACGGCAAGCATTAATATGTACAATATATACAGAGGATATGTACAGCAAGGTAATTCAGGCAAGAAACACGGTGAGTATTGTCTTCGACCAGACTTGGAGGTAAGTCTGCCAATGCCGATTCACAAGTGTCCCACATTGCTTCACAACTTTGGCAGACTTCCTTGTCACTGACTGATTATACCAGGGTGCTAGCATAAAGAGGGGGGGGGGATGTCTTTTCATTATACCCTTAGCATCTGGTTTGCTGGTCAGAAGAGCACGCTTATGTGGGTGTGTGACACACGCCATATATAATGTAACATACTCTTAGCATGCCACACACATTTTAATGATTTATGTCAGAACAAGTTGTAATCAGGGGTCACCTATGTTAGATGAAGTCATGATAGTTACATATGTCTGAATAGATTATAAATACCATAAACTGCGTCTGAAGAGATCATAAGCATGGTTAACTAGGTTTGAAGAAGTCATCAGCATAATCAGCTATGTAAGAACGAGTCATAAGTATGATAAACTATGTCTGAAGAGAATATAAATATGGTCATATATGTCTTCGGAATGAACATCTATGATTGAAGATATTTCATAAGTACAGTCAACTATGTCTGAAGAAGTCATTAGTATGGAAGATATCGGCATTAAGTCAAACTCAAGTTTTAAACAGCATACACACACAAAAAAAAACTTATTCGAACAAATAAACTACTAAACATACTTGCCACGCAGACATTCCTCTATTCATTATATCTCCAATACCCTAAAGTGCAATGCAGACCCGCTCACCCCATCGTCCGCCTATGTGCAGCCACTATTATTAAATTATATAATCTCACATCGCATTATAACAGTAATGTCGCCTCAAAATAACCCGTCACAGGCTGACCATCGGTTCCACCCAAAATATGGTGATTAATTGTCAATAATCTGTTTACAGATCTCCAAGGATCGATTTAGTGTGTGTGACGGCTGGCAAGGTATGTGTGCAGTGTGTACCTGACCCTCTGCTGAGAAGGATTATGCTTTGTGTGGAAAATACTGTATATATTTTCCAGAAATACAGTAGTTATATGTAAATAGATGGCCATACTGTATTTAATAATATTTATGCCATAAAAAATGGGAAATTTTCTGCACCTGCGCCTGCGCAGACGGACAGGCCATTGTTTTGTTTTGAATTGAGAGTAACAGACATTTGTTAATAATGTGAAGAATTTTCGTGCTCTAGAGGTAAAATTAGGTTGACACCTCTCAAATAAGAGGCGAAATTGTTGGATGTGCATTCCTGCATAATTTGAGTATCAGGCGACAGGACAGGACAACTCCAGGAACCTCAGATAAGCTGTCTAATTTATGTTTAAATTCTGGCCAGTAAATTTTTCATAAATGTAGGCAAAAGGGGGGGTCCTGTACATGACACATTAATCTCCAGTCATATTGGTGAGTGTTATGAATAAGATATATTCTCCTTCTGTTATTTTAAATGTATATATATAATTATATATTAATATATATATATATATATATATATATATATCTTCTTTCTTTCTTTAAAACACATCGGCCATATCCCACCAAGGCAGGGTGGCCCAAAAGGAGAAACGAAAGTTTCTCCTTTTACATTTAGTAATATATACAGGAGAAGGGGTTACTAGCCCCTTGCTCCTGGCATTTTAGTCGCCTCTTACAACACGCATGGCTTACGGAGGAAGAATTCTGATCCACTTCCCCATGGAGATATATATATATATATATAATCATTTATTAATTTTAATATACAGTCCACAAATTTATATATTTACCAACATTCCTGGTGATGTATATTTCATTTATAATTAATAGGTCTAGTGCAACTTGTGGATATGACAGTTGTAGGTTTCGAAGGGGGACATTTTTTGTGACCTAGGTGTCCCAAATTCCTACTTGTCTATGTAACTCTGATAAATAATAATTATCTTTGTTATCATTTACTGTTATGTACATAATGATTTACATTCAGATGAATGCAATTTTCCACATTTAATTTGCCCCGTTTGTCCTTCTTGAACCGGAGGTAATTAGTGAAGTTATTAATTAGTTAATTACTTAATAATTATATGTGAAATGACAGGAGGTGGATGTTAAGTTCACAAATTTACTTAATGTGTAGTGGATTATAATTATTACAATATTAATTTGATAGACAATTCTGGCCAAGATTTATATCAGTGTATGTGTAATTGATAAGACAAGTGTGGCTAAAGATTATTTTGTGTATAATATTAATTTTGCTATGCCAAATTCTGGCAAGGATTTATGTTAATTTTTATAATATTAATTTTGATAAGCCGAGTCTGGCTAAAGGTTTGTATTAATGTACATTTGAAGTTTATATTATTTTCTTACATGTAATTGCAGAGCTCAAGTAGCTGGGATTTATTCAAAGGTAAGTTGTACTATTTACCTTTATAAAGTGCATAATTTAGTACATAATCAGTGTTGTAAGTTGTAATTAGTGTTATTAATTAAGTTGAATTTAATACATTGCATCATGGCTGAAAATGAGGAAATTAATATAGAAGACAAACATATGGAATATAGAGCAAAAAAAGCATCACTGCAAGCTAGACAAGGGCATGTAACAAAAGCATACAATAAATGTTTGGAATTAGTGAATCAAGAAACTGTGAATACTGATGATTTAAAATTGTATTTAGATGCTTTAGAGAGTAGATATGATTCACACAAATTATATTACAACAAATATGAAGGAGATTTGTTAGTAAACTGTGTACATGAGACTGAAGTAGATCTCATGATTAATCAGTATTATGAATTAGAAGAAAAGATTCTTTCTTGTAAAAGTCAGGCCTTGAATAAATTAAAATGTGTAAACCAGACAGTTAATCAGTCTGCTCCAACAAATAATATGTCTTTGCCCAAACTCCCAGAATTATGTTTACCTGTATTTAATCCTGGTGAAAATTGGGAGGAATTTTGGTCAAATTATAGAAGTGACCTAGCCTGTGTAACTAAATTATTTTACCTCAAAGGACAGGTAAGAGGAGATGCTCACATACTCATACAAGCCTTTCCCAATGTAGATGATTCTTACAAAGAAGCAGTTGACTTGTTGAAGGTCACTTATGGTAATATAGAACAAAGTAGGTTGGATCTAGTGAATATCATTGTTAATTTAAAATCTCCAGATCACACTTACTAAGGTTTACAGCAGTTTAGAGTTAAACTGGAGAGCACTCTCAAAACTTTAAGTAAAAAATATAATCTAAAGGGAAATCAGACTGGTTATTGAGTGCCATGGTACAGAATAAATTAAGCTGTAAAAAAACTTGAATGGGTCTCGAACAAAATATCACAAGGTTATTTTGGTCTGGAGGAAAATAAGACTAGGTCTACAAGAATTAATTGTTCAGTTGCAGGACCAGCCAACTAACTCATTTTAAAGAGCAACACATAATAACTCTGAGGTATCTGTCAAAGTTTCACAAAGGGATAAATTATCCTAAGGGTAATAATCAAATTTCATTTCCTAAAAAGGTTGCATAGATGCATATCAATTAGCAGGAATCAGAAATAATGATCTCCAAAGTAAGAAGAATAAGTACCCTCCTAAGAGTAGCCCAGTTACAAAGAAACCAGTCAAAAAAAAGAGAGATTGTTTTTCTGAAAGGATTCTCATTTTCTAAGAATTGCAATGCATACAATTCTGGAATGATAAAGTTGGAAAGATTGGAGGAATTTGGGACAGATGTATCAGGTGTTTGGGTAATCCTTTTGTAAAGGATTGTTATGAAAAATTAAACTTCTGTTATCAATGTCACAAAGGAAGACACCATATAGCATGTGTAAAGGTCTATATGATAATGTTGATAATAATGATAATGTTGACAATCCTGACACAACAGTAGCTAATGTAAAAATGCTGCTAATGTTAATAATGATGGTTTTGTGAAGTAGCCTTACCTTTGTTACAGGTAAAAATTGATGATAAAAGGCATAAATCAAAAAATGTAACTGCATTATTGGACCGGGATCCCAGGTACTTTCTTTAAAACGTAAATTTTCTTGATGGAAATAAAAAGTACAGAGGGAGATCCCACAACTTTAAAATTATCTGGTTTTCTCTCGGATAAAAGGGCTCAATTATATGACACTGTTTATGTAACTGTCAGGTTGGGCAATGAGAAAAAATTTAATGCAGTAATTGTAGATAGACTTAAAGAGAAATTATCTACAGTAGGGCTTAGTAAAGCTACAGAAAGGGACTCTCACATAATGTAAATTTAGCACCTTCTGGTGTAAGTGATGATTCTGTAGGCCCAATAAATATTTTTGATAGGTTGGTCTATTAGGGCCCTCCTTTGTAAAGGGTATGGTAAAGAAATGTGGTGTCACCCTTTGAAGACTGCAGGAGGCCTTTATAATGTATGGTAGGATTCCTCTTTAATAAAAATTATGACTAGAGGAAACTACAAATACGTAACTGTGTGTCTTACTCATGAAATCGTGCCCCAGTAAAAATTCTTCCATAGAGGATGGTGTTGAGCCAGTGCATAAATTGTGGGAATTAGATAGCATTGGAATAAATGTAAATGAGAAAGTCCAGACGATTCTTTATATCAGGAGCAATACCTGAGAGATGTAAAATTTGAATCCCGGACAGTACTGGGTACGACTTCCGTGGGATGAAACCCTCCAGAATTGCCACTAATTACAGAATGGCATATGGGACAGTTAAAGGTCAGCTCCGCGAACTGAGTAAGACACCAGAATTGTTAACTGCCTATAATGATATAATTGCTGAACAATTAATTAAT